AGCGACCACATGCACGAAGCTGGGGCGGCGGGGGGAACCATGAGAGACCAGCACAGGGCGAGGGTCCCTCCTCTGCAGAGCCGAACTACGGAGCGTATGGACTCACCGAAGATGTTGGCCAGGGCGCGAAGAGCCGCGGGGGTGCCCTGTGGCCTCGCGCGCCAGAGCGGTGCCGCCGGCGTAAACTGCAGCAATCCCGAGTACCGTCGCTGCCCGGGGGGGGGGGAATCGCCGAGCACACTCACTCAGCAGTCATGTCCGTCTCCTCGGCGTTCTCAGCTTTGGCGGCGGCCTTCCTGCTCTCGATGATGGCCTGGGCCTTCTCGACCTGGCGCCTGAACTCGTCGCGGCGGGTGGCGGCCTTCTCCTCGTCGTCCTGCCTCTGCTTCTCCTTGGCCGCGTCCCACGCCTCGTCCTTGGCCTTCACCCTGGCCGCCTCCTCCGGCGGCAGGTAGCGGACACGCTTAGTGTGGTGCGTCTTGCGGCTGGCGCGGCGCTCGGCCCTCTGCTTGCGCCTCATCTCCTTCACCTCGGTCTCATTGTAGTTGTTCTCCGCCTCCAGGTCGCGGATGCGCTGGGCCCAGGTGTCCTTCCAATCAGCCTGCTTCTTCTGCCAGTCCGCCTGCTTCTGGAAGTCGCTCGCCTCGGCCTGGTGCGCGACGCGCTGCTTCGAGTCCTCGCCGCGCAGCCGGTCGATCCAGGCCGTGTCGGGGGCCTTCTTCATCTCCTTCTCGACCGCTCCGGGGGGCTGCTGCGCGCTCAGCACCCTGTTGGTCTCCACGGCGGCCCTCTTGGCCTGGGAGGAGTGCAGGCCGCAGGAGAGGAGACCGAACTCGACACTGCTGTGCGTCTCGAGCGCGCCGACGATGGCCTCCTGCTGAGAGACGTTGTCCTCCTCCATCCGCGCCCACGCGCGCAGGAGCACGTCGGCGGCCTCTGGCGCGTCGGACAGATACATCACGCCGATGTCGATCTGGTCCGGGCTCCCCAACTCCTCCCTGCAGGCGGCGCTGTCGTCCCCGGCCTGGCTGCTGGCGAAGTGGATGCGCCTGCTCGGCACCGCCAGCTGGCTGGTCAGCTGCTTCTTGAACTCCACGCGCGGCGACGCGTACACGAGCCTGTCGCTGAGGCCGGCGAGCGCCGCCGTGGTGAGGATGGCGTGCTTGAAGATGCGGCTCTGCACGTCCTGGGCGGGCTGCAGGACCAGGCACCGGTTGCCGGCGGCGCCGAAGCCCTCCGACAGGGCCTTGCAAATGCCGCTGCTGGTGCCGATGACGAGGCTGCTCGCCTCCTCCCCGGCCACCTGGAGGCTCGAAAGCATGAGCAGCGCCGAGTCGACCTCGTCCGCGTCGATCACGGTGATGATGACAGGGCTCCTCTCCTCCTTGTTCGCCAGGTCATAGATAGCCTGGTGAAGCCGCCGCACCTGCTGCGGCCACAGCAGGTCGTAGAAGGCAGGGTTCATGGTATCGCAGCTGAAGGTCTGGAAGAGGCTCGCGAGCGGCGTGCTTGTGTCGAGGCTCTCGCCAAGGCACTCCGCGAACTGCGAGATGCCCTGCTGGGTCTGGAAACTCTGTTCCTGGAAGCATGGCAGCCCAGTCTGGGTGTACGTCGCCATGGCCGCGTACATCGGCTCCGGCTTGAATTCGACGCCGGCCCCCGTGGCCCGGCGGAACCACACCTCCTCCGCGCTGCGCGTGCCGGCGAGGGCTGGGTCGCCCGCCCGCCAGGCCTCGTACGTCCTCAGCAGCACGTCTGCCGCATCACGGCCCATGATCGTCGCCTTGTCGTTGACACCAGTGGCGTCGAGGCAGGGGACGGCAGAAACCTTCAGCGAGTCGAACTCGAAGTCCTCCACGTCCAGCAGGCGTGGGGCCAGCCAGTAGATGTCGTCGCGGGCGACGACGACGGCACTGTACTCGTCCTCCCCCTCGTTGGCACGCGAGATGTTCCACAGGCGGGACAGCGAGCGCCACCTCGCCACGGCCGCCTTCCCCTCGGCGGTGCTGAGCGGGCTGGCCTGCCTCATGATGTCCTGGTGCGCCGCGTCCTTCGGCAGGGACACCCCATCGTCCGACTGCAGGTCCCAGTGGCACCCGGCGGCCAGCTGGCTCCGCGCGAGGTGGCAGATGGACTCCATGACCTTGTTGAAACTGTAGCCGAGCACCGTCGACAGCAGGCTTGCGATCTTCGGGTCGCTGATCTCCTCGCGCTTGGTGGCGCCCGGCAGCGCCTCCCTGAGGCCAAAGTAGAGGTCCACCTCGAGGCCCTTCACAGCGTTGGCGCGCACGACGTTGGCGAGCAGCGGCGTGAGCAGGAGGCCCTTCACGGATCCCGACACCAGCACGGCGATGCGGCCAGTCTGCTCGGGCGCGGCCCCCTTGACCAGGCCCTCCGAGGCATCGGCCTGCCGCCGGGCGCGGCGCGGGGAGCCGAAGAGCCCCGGCCATGCCGCCTCCTCCGTGGCCGCCAGCTCGCCGCTCGCCTGGCCGAGCGCAGCGCCGCCAGGCTCCGGGCCCGGGTCATGGAGCTTCAGGCCGCCCGCGCCGAGCAGGAGGGTAAGGACGGCAGCGGGGGCCCTCGCCAACATTGCGGCCGCACGCTCTGCTGCGAGTAGAAGATGATCGGGTCAACACGGAACTAAGGTGGGCGTTGGGCACACACTTGAGCCAGGCTACGGAGCTGGTGGGGATACGCGAAGCAGCAAGAATTGCAACTAAGCCGCACCTGGCGTTCCTACAACACATGCTGAGCTTGAACCATTCCGGAGGAGCCCGATGCGGAGAGAGACAGGAACATCTTATCAGAAAAAACTCCTGGACCGAGGCCAGGCGGGAACAAACCTTGGTCAGGTCGTCGTCGGCCTCCTGAGTGAATCGCGTAGTCCACTCAGGAAGATGCACTCTAGTAAATCCATCGGTGGGCCACTCCTCCTGATTACCATCCTCCCCATCCTGCTTCCTCCCCTTGCCCATCCTCCTCCTCAGCCTCCAGCTCATTGCCGCAAGCCTTGGCAAGATCTTCTGGCTTCGTCGTCGGAACGCAAAGCGAAAACAGGCAGGACAACGCAACGGCGAAGGCAACCACGACGGAAAAGGCAACGGCGAGGACGACGACAACGACGACAACGGCGACGACGGCGGCCAAAGACGAACACGGCAAAGACGACGACGACGACGACGAAAACAAAGACGACGACAGAGAAAAGAACGACGACGACGACGACGACAAGAGCGAAGACGCCGAGAAAGACTGCGGGGGCGCCGCCAGGGCCGTGGACAGCCCGGCCAGCAGCGAGCGGAGGAGCGCGTCTCGCCGCACGTGGGGGGGAAGGTGGCCTCTCGCAGGCGCGCGAGCGCGCGCCTTCTCTTCCCATATGGCAGCGGGCAGGTGGGGGAGGGGAGGGGGAGGGGGAGGATGGGGGGGGGGAGGGGGAGGGGGGGGAGGGACGTTGAGATTGGGGGAGTATGGGGGGGGGGGGCGGGACTGGGGGGAGGGAGGGGGGAGGGGGAGGGAGGCGGAGGAGCAGAAGGAGGATTGTCTGTTTCCATCGCAAACGACTCTCGGCCGACAGGGAGGGAAGGAGCATTACGCACTCCAGAGGGCGCCGCCTCGCTCGTCTGCTATTTGATTACCTGAGAGCTCCTGCCGTAGGGTGGCGGACCTCCCAAAAACGATTCACTCCGACCCTTGGCCGTCCGAGCTCGATCGAGCTCGGGCCTCCTGGCGCGAACCTTCCCGAAGTGAGCCGGCTTACCCTGGGCGCAAGAAGAGCAACGCCTGCAGACTACAACATTGAGCCGAAGCACAGGAACGCACCCGGGCACTTCTGCATTGTGAGTGCGACCCTGGCGTGCATCGAAGTCCTCGGATTGATGGGGTCGTCGGATAAGTCTGAGTCAGCGGAAGAGAGAAAACGGAGTCAGAGGAAGAGTAGGGATCGGCTCGGTGGCCGTACTCGGGGAAGTACTCGTGATACTGATCGGTGCAAGGTCGGTTATCTCATCGACGGTGTGTGGCATCGCGGATAGCATTGCAACAGACTCAGCAACATCAACTACCCTCTGATACGTATGATTACATCCAGACGCTGTCAGAAGGAATGTTGCGGAGCTATTGCCTCGAAACAAACGCTCGCCGATCGCTTTGTGACTCAAGATCTTCGGCAACTTCAGCTACACATTCGCACATACTGCGCACTTGATGAGTCGGAGCAGGTACTACCACGACCGCGCCGACGATGCGTCATCCATGGCCCTAGACGAACTGCTCAGGAAGCATAGGGAAGACGGAGAGGGTTAGGGCGATTAGCCCGCCAAAAAGCGGAGAGACGCCACATTGGGAGAGTTGACCGACGCAGCAGAAAAATCGCTGCAGCAGGTAAAGGTCGCGCTGAGAGCCACGGACATCCAGCAGGAGATCTCGCTTCTGCTCAAGATGGCGTGCATGCACGCGCAACAGCTTCGCGACCTGGCGGCGTCGGAGCGGCTCTGCATCGTGATCCTCTCGGAGTCCTTTGTGATCAAGGCCGCGCACGCAGCCGGTAAAGCAGTACGCGGAGGTGGCCAACATCACGGCGGCGAAACCACACCTGTGGCCACCACATGCGTTCAGCATGCGCGCCGTGTTCAGATCCATGCTGTGCCCGGAACTGCTCAAGAACGGCATGGATTCGAGCTGTCAACTACTGGCCGTCTTCTTCGAGAAGCTCGTCTTGGGAGCGACCGCGGAGCCACTTGGCTTGACGAGCACACGAGGCTTCAGGTCTCGATGGCAGACGGCATTCCCCTCCCCAAGACCAACGGCGACGAGCGGGAGATCTCGAAACTCGAGTTCGAGTCGGCGTTCTTGCAGCTGCTATCCCTGGCGGGGATGCGGGGGGGAATTCAAGATGGGCCCCGCTCAGCCAAGACCAAGACGGTGGAGGAAAGGGGCAATCAGAGGCAGCACCAGAAGCCTTGGCAGGTGTGGCGCGCGGCCATTCTCGAAGGCATCCGAGCTAGAGGATTGGCATCGACGAGACCTGACACTTCATGTGGAGGAAGAGGAGAAGGAGGAGGAGGAGGAGGAGGGGGAGGGGGAGGAGGAGGAGGAGGAGATGGAGGGAGAGGAGGAGGAGGAGGAGGGGGAGGGGAGAGGAGAGGAATTGGAGGAGGAGGAGGGTGAGGGGGAGAGGAGGGAGAGGAGGTGGGGGGTGGAGGAGGGGAGGTGGTGTAGAGGAGGAGGAGGAGGAGGGGGGGAGGAGGAGGAGAGAGGATGAGAGGTGGAGGGGGAGGAGGAGTGGGAGGAGGGGGGGGGGTGGTGGCTGGGGGGGAGAGGGGGGGAGGGGGGGGGTGGAGGGGAGGGATGGGAGGCGTGGGGAGGGGGGGGGGGAGGGGGGTGGGGAGGGGTGAGGGGGGGGGGCGGGAGAGGAGGGGTCCGTGGGGCGAGGGGGGGGGAGGGGGGCGGTGGAGGGGATGAGGCGGAGGAGGAGGAGGAGGAGGAGGGTTGGTGCATGTCTTCCGTCCAGCTGGGTGGCGTGCCTGCTTCCAGGGGCTGCGTGCCGATCCGCTCTCCGCTGGTGCTCAGCACGGGGCCTCACTGCCACGACCTCCTCCGACGTGGCGGCGCGCTCGGGCTCGATGCCTCCCCGCCCTCCCCGACACGGCGGCAGCGGGGCTTGCGACGAAACTCGCGGACCCCATACATAGGGGGCCACCTGCGAATCCTACCCCTACCCCCCACGATTTCTGAGGGGGAGGGTGGGGTTCCCTTCGTTCGGGAGCTCCCGAGCGAAGTGAACCCCACCCTCCCCCTCAGAAATCGTGGGGGGTAGGGGTAGGGCTCGCAGGTGGCCCCCTAATACAGGTTCGGCACAAAGCACCCCGACGGACGTTGCCGTGCTGCATCCGTCGCTCTCCTTCGCCTCCCAGACGGGCGGCGCTCGGACGTCGGGTTGTGCGATGAAGCGGGTGCTGGCTCGGCGCGTGCAGGCATCTGGGTATGTTCCGTCCTCGGCCCCGTGCGGCGGATGTTCCTGATCGGGTAGGCGCAGCGCCGGGGCTGCCCGACACGGCCGCGCGCCACCAAAGATAGGTTTGGGGTAACCGAAGTTGGTCTACTTCGGTTTCTTGGGGTGCTGGCCCATGGCCCTCCTCTTCCATTTCGCTCTGCACTGCAATGTTTACCAGCCTGGAACATATCCCAATCCCTATGCTGGGCATCTCCTCATCACGATGCCAAGCTTGGGATTCCCTTATTTTTCGAGGGCGCATCCCTCAGATTGTCATCGCTTTTTGGCGTGTCAATCTTAGGGATAGGGATACGTTCGAGGCTGGTAAAATGTCTCAGTCGAGTCGTCTGACGACGTCTTCCCCGAGGTCGCCCTTGCACTCCTTGGAACGGGCGCCGTCGCTGGGCCACGTCTTCGCCGACTACATGGTTGCGCCGAGCTCCTGCTGCAATCCTCTCTGCTCGATCGCCAGCGCTCTGGGCATCTACTGTGGGGCCTTCTCCCTTTCTTATGGGGGCAAACAAACCTACCTCGCTTTTGACCACCCTCGCTTCCAAGAGATACCAAACGATGCCAAACTACGGCCTGTACTGGTCAGGCCGCTTGACGAGGAGGCGCGTGGTATGACTTGGTGTTGCCTGGAAGCGAAAGCGGGGTAGGTGATTCACGTTCTGATAATTCCCAGGCAACCGCCCCGCCGCCGCTGCCTCACGCCCGCGTGCCAGCCCGTGGCTGCTGGCCTGCCGGGCACTCTCTGCTCCCCACTCCCCTGCTCCTCCCGTGCCCTCCCCTCTGCGCCGGCCTCCCCGTCTCCGCTCGTGGCCGCCCTCCCGCGCCGCGCCCCGCTCGGCCGCCGTGTGCGGGGGTGCAGGGTCTCTCCCTCGGGGTGGGGCGGGTGCCTCGGCGGCCTGCCCGACGCACGCAGCGTCGAGGGCTCGGTCTCGCAGGGGCCAGGAAGGGCAGGAGGGCCCAGGATCGAATCGATGAGTCGAATCGGCGATCGGCATGAACGGGATCGGGAGAAATCGGCAGCCAAGTCGGGAGAAGTCGAATCGGCGAAAGTCGGCAGGTTAGTAGGCTTCTATTGAGAAATCGTAATCCCAATCGGAATCCGAAGTCAAATCGAATCGGAATCGGAGGACATCGACATCGAATCGAATCGAATCAGAGGAGTCGAAATGAGCCCTGGAGGGGCCCTTCACTCCCAGCCCCCGAGGGGGTTTCACGATTTGCGACTGCCTCCGTACTCGACGGTACTCCCTTGCGAGGCGGAGATGTATTCATATCCACCGCCTGGGAACCGACGTCCTGGTGCCCCAGCGGGCGGTGGATATGGATATAGTTTGGCCCCCGGGGGCCCGAATGTATCCATATCCACCGCCTGCCGAGGTTCCCGAAGATTGATCCTCCAGGCGGTATTCGTTTATGAACTCCCGCCTCGGAGCCCAACACTCCATCTCGACGCACGCGCTCGTTGATCGTTCGAGGTAGGGCTCCCTCGCACGCCTGCACGCGCGAGCAGGGTAAGGCACAGACCACGCGCAAGGCCGAGTCTTCTTCTCCTCCCTCCTCCCTCCTCCTCCTCCCTCCCCCTCCCCTCCCCCTCCCCCCCCCCTCCTCCTCCTCCTCCTCCTCCTCCTCCCTCCCCCTCCCTCCTCCCTCCCTCCCTCCCTCCCTCCCTCCC